AAAAAATTATTTCGAAATGTAATGACTATAAGGAATTTAATTGCCGTGGTCGTGCTCACACTATAGGGGAAAGTGTTGTTAAATACATTGATCATATCCATGTACCAGATATCACGAAAATCAAATATAAAGAATTTGTCAATGAAGTAAAAGAAGTCGCTAAGACTTCACAATTAACTGCACATACTGTTCTCGGAGTAGTTACAGCTAAAGTAGCAATGCTGACAATATTACCGATGGGCACTGCGTTTTTCTGTAAAACCCCATCCAGAGCTTCTTTAATGTCACAACCCCGAGTAGTTTTCTTCAAAGTAACCAGGTCTAAGAGTTCTTCCACCACCTCTAAGTCTTTTGACACATACCTCACAAATATGGCAAATTGTGGCATATCTTTAATATCAGTAGACTCGTCCAGTGCCAGACTTACTGCTAAACACTTGCTTAAATTTGTTTGTAAATTTTTTAAAATATCCGCACTAATAACAGAAATTCGCCTCTCTATTGTGCGCTAGCAACAGGCATTTCGTTTATTAATTTCTGCAGTTTTTTATTTTCCGGTTCTAAAACAGAAATAACTTGAGCCATGTTTTGCTTAATAAACTCCCCCTCTGTGTAAGGCTTTTTTGCTTTTGCAATATTAAATGCCAAGATGAAGCCAGCTTCATTTGTTAAATCTGCTTCCTTGGTAAACATTGACATAACTCTACTGTGGCCATGAAGTTTTTCTTTGAGTGATTTCAGTTTGGTTTTCCTTAACTGAGAGCCAACAGGAAAATCTTTATTAAAACCACTGTGGTTACTGTCATGATGGCGTTTTAGATTACTGGCCTTGAACTGTGACAAAGTTACTTGACATAAAAGACACATTGGCTTCCCGTTTCTTTCTACAAAAAGGAATTCTTCCTCCCAGTCTGTACTAAAAGCTCGATTCTCCTCTTCATATTTACGCTTCTTAGATAAAATCGTAACTGTTCGGACACTAGGCTACAACTGTATTCAAACAGCATACAACAACTACACACAGAAATATATTTAAAACATTAACGCGGAAACGCGATAACGGAAATTGTCGCCGGGAATTATCGTCGTCGTCTGACGCGGTCGTAATAACGAAATCGACGGCAATAAAAATGCTATCTGACGTTTCTAACGATATTAACAAATTTTATATTAATTAAGTTTAGTCTAAATTTAGTTCAAGAGCCGCACGCAACTGATTTAAGAGCCGCATGTGGCTCGTGAGCCTCGTTGTGGCCACCCCTGCTATATATACTGTTACTATAAATATTAGGAAAATTGTTATATTATCGCCTGAAAATATTAATTACAGAGGTTAGAAGTATATATACAGAATACTCGTATTAGCATGTATACTATATGTATATTATAATAAAAACTGTTATTAAATTAATTTAATCGAAGTCCAAACGTTATACTTTTATGTGATTTTTTTTTTTTATATAAAAGTGTCTACTCGACTTGATTACAAAATATTTAAGTATGTTTATTAATATAGTAATGCAAAATATATTCAGATTTAGATATTAATCTATTCTATTCTCTTTCATTTAGAACGGTTTTAAAACCATGGTACATATTAATTGAAAATGTATAAGAACAACTCACTTAAATCAGTCTGAGTTATATGACCCTGTAACTCACCAAATCCCAGTATCTCGCTCTTTACTTTTAATAGAAAATTAATAATTTAGATGACATCGAAATCAGATTTTTTGAAATGAAAAATGGCAAAATTATTTGGGAATGTGTAGCTGATTTTAATCCTTCAGATGTTCATAAACATACAGCTATATGTTTTAAAACGCCTACCTATTATTTAAGAAATGTAAGTATGAAAATAAAAATAATAGTTTCATTTTTTATGAGATTTTGCATACTTAGTTAAATACTTATGAAAATGGTTTTTAGATTGAAAATCCAGTTCATGTAAAAATACAATTACGAAGAATTTCAGATGGCAAGTATGGTGAATGTTATCCTTTTATACTAACCCCGGATTTTTCAGGTTTGTGCCCAATATTTATTTTAGAGGAGTGATCGGGGGTTATTTCTTAGTTAAAAATTATTAAATAGGTTTAAATAAGTCAATCAATTACTATAAAAAAATAAAAACAATATTTTTTTTATACACACATATATATGTATATATGTTGGTATATAATGTTTAAAATTATTGACATTTTTAGATTTTAAAAACAGAAAAAGAATTAGACTTTCCAGAGATAGTTTTAATCAATGTTCACGTAATCCTGGTAAGTAAAAAAATATAAGTAAATTTACTATTGTGATATTTTTAACAAATTAGGGTATCTAGTATTATTATTATATTTGTACCCAATATGTGATGTAAATAGCAACTTTCAACTAGTAGCAAGCCACGCCTTCCCCTACCCCAATGACCTAACTCAGAGGTTCCCAACCTTTTTTAACTCACGTCACCCTTTATTATTTTCTAAAAATTTGGAGGCACCCTATAGTCTATGCCCTTATACTCTATAGTTTATACTGAATCCCCAATAGTAATATATCGTATATTTAAATTTATATTTTGTAACTTCGGTTTTATTTAGCATTAATAAACAATAAAGATAAGATAAAGTCACAATTATTTCACTTAAAACAGTTCACATTAAATCTATAGCAATCAAACCAGTATGAAAATTAAAATAGACTGAACATTTCAGTATTACTATGTGAAAATTATATGTGTTATATAAATTATATTGTATGTACCTAATTAATTATACACAATAGGTTTTATACTATAGACATATAGTATAGTCTGTTTTATTACTCACAGTGCTATATTTTTCATGAAGGCGTTTAAAAATAAATGTATATTTCAAATATTTTTGCGGCACCTTAAATTTAAGTTTGCGGTACCCTAGAGTGCCGCGGCACCCTGGTTAGGAACCTTTGACCTAACTGCTTTTCAACATAACATAATAACGATTAGTCTTTATTTGATCACAAGGGAAAACGCGAGTTGGGTCCCGAGCTATTTGATCGCTTAAAATAAACACGAGTTGGGTCTCCGATGTTATTCGATAAGGTTAAGCTCACACGAACCACTCGTGAATGATTTTTTTTGGTTAAATTGTGGTTGTACTGTCGGCGAAATCGACCACTTTTAAACAACTTTTTTGTGGTCGTTAGAAGTCCGAACCGACGTCAATATAACCACATCACAACCACAAATGTGGCGTACGTTCTATTTTACATAAAAATATTACATGTTTTGCTAGTGTAAAAATGGACTTTGAAGAGGAAGCACTGTTATTACTTTTATTACAGCGAAGAATGCAGCGTCGTAAGAAGCGACAATTTTGGGTCATTCCTATTATTGAAAATAAAAAGAGACTCCCAAGCTTTAGCTTTTGTAATACGATTACTATAACTGTTAGAGGTATAATTCCAAGTACATGGTAAATTATGCAATTCTTCTATAAACAATTCTGTGTCAAATGCGTCGTCGTTTTCACTTTGTTCAGTCATAATTTATCTCGTATTGAACACCAAGCACGTGAGCATGTACTACTGAACAACTCAACCAACTCGACTAATCGACAAATTTCATAACACAAGTCATAAAATAATAATGATAATAATATATGTATAGATTATACAGATATCAATGATATTTCTATAAACATAAAATAATAAATGCTGGTAGCAAGTGGTCGGAAAGTGGTTGACGTGTCGCAACTTGTGTGTTACGCTCAACCATCAATGACCACAATTTCGTGGGTGATACAGTCGACACGATGCGACTGAAGTCGAAACTGACGGCAGAAAGTGGTCCGTCTGAGTTCAATTGCATTTTTCGTATTATTATATATATTCTTAATATATCAACCACGAGCGACCACCGTTTTGCGGTCGTAGCGTGGTTCTAAAGTGGTCCGTTTGAGCTTACCCTAATACACGAATTGAGCAATGGTAATTTCCGATTATAAGAGTAGTCTTAATAATAATCGATAATATCTTATCTTACAATCTTATAATCATATTGTAACTTGTCAATATACCGGCACGTATCAAGGCTAAAAGTCCATCTAATAAAATATAAAATATAAAAAGTATAGCCTGTTTTTTTTGTTGTTATATTACATATAAAAATTAAATTATGGATTTCATGTCAAGCGAAAAAGGTAAAAAAATTATCTTTAAAGACGTATTTAAATTTCGCTTCCACAAAATGTTGCGGAATGATGTACAATGTTGGAAGTGTTATCGTAATACCTGTAAGTGTTTTTTAAAACTATCTTGAACTTTAGACATAATAGAGAAATGTAACATCATAATCACCAAAAATGTGATGAGAAGGTTCTGAATAGACAAAAGTTAAGTAACTCGGTTAAAAGAAAAGCACAAGATGATATTTCTACACGACCTTCAAAGATCATTAGATCTGAGATGAAAAACAGCGATATACTTTCGATAGATACTAATGATTTGAAATTAATAAAAAACAACATCTAGACTAGAATATATCGGGACCCAACTCATGTACTCTATAAAATATACTGGGACCCAACTCATATACTCCATAAAATACGTCTAGACCCAATACATGCTGTTTTTGAAATCTGGGACCCAACTCGAGTGTGTCCGATCACAAGACCCTGGACTCTAAACGAAAAAGTTAATAATATGTATTGTTGTGTAATTTTTTTCCCGAAATAATTTAAGAATTCAAATTATAAGTAAATTATCAATAAAATAAATTAACAAAACAAATTTGTATTTCTTTTTTTGTATACAGATGAAATTTGTATCTTAAATAATTATTTATATAACAAACAACTATTTATCTAGATTAGCGGTCGCCAACCTTTTGGACCTCACGGACCACTAAATACGTACTCTAAATTGTATGGACTACTTTTAGTTTATAAAAGCTTTTTACATAAATACCGTTAAATAAATCGATGAGGTATTTTTTTTCGGTTATAAAAAAAAACTAACTAACTTAACTACTTAACTTGTTATTTTCATTGTTTGTTGTAATGGATCTATTATCCATATAATACCATGTCTAGGGTCTAACTTTTTTGGGAAATAACGACAAAAATATTCTGTACGTACCTAACGTTCAAATTATTCTGCGGACCACTTAAATTTTCTCGCGGACCACCGGTTGGCGACCGCTGATCTAGATAAGTCCCAACACTGCTTAGGTACAATATATTAATAGCATTATAATTTTAATTTTAGCGTACGTGTCACAGCAATCAATACCAAATTGCACTAAAGTGTTAACGAATGTTCCATATAATATTTTTGAATCAGCAGTAGAAAATATAGGTTTGAATATTATTAAAAAATGACAATTAGTATTTTAAAATCAATAATATGAACCTTTTTTTTTTTTTGTACAGCAACTATCCCAGAAAATAACCGCAGTTCTAGTGGCTTTTTTTGTCCACCATTAAACCCCAATGTTTATGATCAATTTTCCTCTGAGAATAAATGGACAACACCTACACAATCGACATATCAATTAACAAATACAAATTCTAACATGTTTTGTGAACAGACGAAAGTAAAAGATCAAACACCAACAGATGGTAATCTAATTACATTTTATAAAAAAGAAAAAGTTGTTCAACATTCAAAAACTGCACTGTATAACGATCTATTATATTAATTTTAAATTGTAAATTTTACAATGTATTAAATATGTAGGTAGTAGTGATGGGCGATTTGAATCGATCTTTTTCTTGCGATTAATCGATCTTTTGAATCGATTTCTATGGTCCGATCTTTTACATAAATCGATTCATTTTTATGAAAATCGAATCGAATCGATTTTTTCACAGTGTTTACACTTTGACAGTGTAACACTATCTCATCTGTTTCTACTTTCTATCACGTCTAATAATATTTAAAATTTGTATTTCGAAAAATATTTGGTTATTATTTTAAAAATATTGATACTGCATTACACATTGGCCATCTAGATGTGCCATGTGTGGCCTAGGTTGTAATTAAAATTTAATCAATTCATTTATTTTTAACAGAGTTTAGCTAACAACTATTAACTTTTAGTGTTGAATATATTATTTGTAATCTAATTATTGATTTACATACTTTATATTGAATTAATTAACCAGAGTAAATTTTTTTCATCAACTTATCACCTTCAAAATAAAAAAAACTCTACAATCAGTTATCAGATTATTGATTAGAAAAGCAGCTTTACCAATTTGTATTTAATATAAAATAATTAACAGTGGTAAAATATTGATCTTGCACCATGGAATATGGATCATATTGAATACAAGTGCCTAAAGGCCCTAAAGTACATGCTCTTGTACTATGTAACATATTAGAATTCTTTCTTTATTTTAAATTTAAATATTTTTCAATTAATTTCCTTAGATTAACTAATATGTATTATATTATTCAATTATTTTAATGTGTGTTTCATTATCTCTAAGCTTAATTAATAATAATAAACATGGAATAGCACAAAATAGCAAAGAACGGCGACATCTATTAATCATAAAAGCCGTAAATTTGGGTTTTTTTTCGAATAGATACTTTAAAAGATCGATCTTTTGCCACCGATTTTTTTTTTGGATCGTTCTTTTCATTTTGATTTAAATCGATTCACTTTCAAGAATTGCCCATCACTAGTAGGTATTATATTGTTTTTAATCCATTTGTCAGATGAAATTTATAACATACACAATTTATTCTAGTCAAGTTTGAACAGAAAATTTTAGGTATCTACCTACAGAAAAAGTGATAACTTTATAGTGAAAAGTATGATGCTAAAAAGAAAAAATAATAATGACCTTTTTTTACTGATAATTTACTGATAATTTACATCTTATTTTAATAATATTACAATTTTATAAAACAGTAAAATTCTTTTTTTTTTAATTGCAATATTGGAGTAACCAATGTAATAGTAATAACCACAGAATAAATTAATTAATTTAATTTAATTAGATTTAATCTAGTCTATGGTATAACTAACAAATATATTTTAATAATACTTACATATGTAACTGGCTAACCTCAATAGTAATTTTAATATCGTTAGATAATATTTTCCAGAATCCAGATATCTGCATTTCTTCTCAATTCTCAAAGTATAGGTATTCTATAATTATATTACAGTCAACTCGCGGTATAACGAAGTTCGATATAACGAAAATCTCGATATAATGTATAAAACTGTCGGACCCTTCAAAATCTCGTGATATAACGAAAAATTGAATGCATTTTGGTCCCCTCGATATAACGAAGATTTTTTGACTAAATTTCATGCAATGTAACGAATTTTTACAATTTTGGAGATTGATACTTCACGTTTTACGAGTTTTTTTCAGCCATTCTTATGTGATAAGATAATGTTCATGTATCGTTTATATGATACACGTCTGTTAAATGTAAGTTATATTAAATATAAATAAAAATTTGTTGCTATTGACAAAGATTTGGTTATCTGTGGAGTTCTCAATGACAATGAGATTTTGAATAAAGCTGATGACGAAGAGCCCCCCGTAAGTTCGAATAAAGCAAAATTAGGTCTCCGCGCCGTCTTAAGTTTTTTACAAAGACATAATATTGACTACAGTGTATTTTGTAATATTCTAAATTTGGACAACACGTAATCGCGTAAACGCAACATACAAAAAAAAAAAAAAATAACTTATTTTTAAAAAAAATAAATAAGTATGTATATAATAAACAAAACATGTATGAATGTATCTAATAAAATATTTAATAATAATCTAATATTGTATATAGATATGTAATTATAAAAATCTAATAAAATCTAAGTTTTCTTTTAAATATCGTTTAAACAAATTTTGTTGATTTATGCTTTTGATATAATGAATTTTTATGTAAAGAACTTTTTGCTCGGTCCTTTGAAATTCGTTTTAAAGCTAGTTGACTGTATTAATATTTTTTTTTTTAAACCAATTTACTTTAAATATTTTATTTTATCTTTAGATCAACAGTTATATATCTAGATCAAGGTTTTCATTAACCTAATGCAACTCCTGTGATTTTTATTATGTATAATTGTATGAATTATCATTCTGAATGGATATATTGAATATTAAAAGAAAAATGCATGTCTTAGTAATATATTCATTATTTATATTAGTATAATGGTATATAGTGTTTAAATAACTAAAGAATAATGTTTAAAATAGTAATTCTATAACTTTAGTGAACATGGATCAGCAACTAAATTATCCAGAAATATTGACGACAAACCAATACAATACTTTTGAATCCGAATCGATCAAAGAAATTCTTGGTATGAAATTTCATTATATTATTTATTTATTTATTCATTTATAATAACGGTCTAAATACCAAATTTTAAAGTCTAAACAATTTACCTACAGCAGTTGATATAGTCAAAGTTTAAATTAAAATTGAAATATAATATAAAAAGAGGAGGGAAAAAACTATTACATTAATAATCTTATAGATTAAAATAATGTAATTAAATTTTTAAATATAAAAATTAATTATCATACAAGAGAAAGGGAAAAGAGAAAAAATAAAAAACAAACTATTAAATGAGGAAATCTATAATATCCTTAACAGAGTTTTCTTGGATTAATAACATATTTATAGGTGATAAATCTATATACTTAAGTGAAGAATTTGGAATATAATATCATTTTTGATTTCTAACATTATGGATATTTATATTGAAATTAATTTGGTTTAACAAAAAATAAATTTAATAATCTTATTATTTAGAATTTTGATTAAAAATTTTACAAATGAGATATTTCTTCTTTCTTTAAAAAAATTTAGATTTAATAAGTTTATAATATTTTCGTCACCAGAATGAGAGGGTCTTAAAATATTCGGACACAAGCATTTTGGCGCTGCTGTTTTGGCGTTGACCTTTTTAGCACCATAGTTTTAAAAATGTGTGCATTATATATGGGACAGCCTCTATGTATAAATTATAAATAACGAATTATAAAAATTAAAAAAATTAACTTATTTTATCTGAATATAACTTATTAATTCATATATATTTTTATTTATTAGACTAAAATATTAAAAAAAAAGATATACGATTAGGTATACTCATATTTATAAAAAAAAAAAATTGTATTTTGTATTATCCTAATCAAACAGGTCAAGTTATCTTAAAATTTTATTTTTGTATAATTTTTCTGAGAAAATTCATAAACGATCGGTTTGACGTTGCGGATACGATGTGGGAATGTGCGGATAAATCGAATTAATTTTTATCAGTTATTACGACAAATTAGATAACTATAAAAATAAAATGATAAACTTCAACACTATTATTGTTATTAGGATACTATTTTTAATGCCTTTTTCACAATTCAACTTGTTACACTGTTTATTAATTAGCGTGTCCCATATATATTTGTCAAATGCACAGATTTTTAAATTAAATCATATTGTCTCACCAAACTTGCGCCACCAAAAAGGAGGCTCCAAAACGTCCTAGACCGTAAAATATTGCACTAAACAGATAAAACGAAGGACTTTATTTTGTACAGATTCTATGAGATTAATGAAAATTCATATTTTGAGTGTCCCAGATTATTGAGGCATATTCTAAATGAGATCTTACGAGAAAGGTATAAAAACATTTAAGAGTCAACATTTAGAGGTCATTAAAATTTGAAAAATTACGCATTATAAAGCCTAACATGGAAAGGGCTTTATTTTTCATAGATATTATATGGTCAGTAAATAAGAATTTAGAATCAAAAGATATCCCAAGACCTTTAACTAGGGAACAGTGGAGTAGAACATGATTACTTAATTTATACATTAAAATATTGGTTGGTTTTTATTATTATTAATCGACATTATGATAGATTTGTTTAAAAATTAATATTATCTTTGATCAGTGCCGGCGCTAGAGGAGGACAAATTGGACATTTGTCCAAGGCCCCGTGGTTTTTAATTATCAACTTAATACCGTGAGACACATTGAAATTTTATCGATACGACGAAAGCGTAATATTTTGACGATACCCGTCGGGTAGGATTCCTACAATAAATGATAATATAAATATTTATTATCTCTATAGTTATTGTTCAAAATTCGAAGAAAAATAATATTTTTTAAAAAAATCCTGATTTAAAAAAAAGCTAGAATTTCGCCCCTCTCTAGGAACCTAAAGGTTAATACCTATATCCAGGGCCCCGCAATACCTAGCGCCGGCACTGTCTTTGATACATATAGAAATTGGCTCCAATTGGCTCTTCTAATGATATTACAGAATTGCCACCAAATACCAGTGTTTATATTAAACCTTCGTCTACGTTTTCATGGACAGATTCACAAATAGAAAATAAATTACTAAATGAAAATTCTAACACTATGTATGGACAAGCAGACTTATATTTTCAACCAAATATTGGTACGTTATTAATATATATGAACATATTAATATGTTTTAAAACAAAAATGTATTTTGTTAAATAAATGTCTAATTCTTTAGAAATTCAAATTTGTATAATCACTAAGTTGATTAATTAACAATTTAAAAATACTTTGGAATTTTGCAGGTAATTCAACATACAGTGCAAATAACTCTACAGTAAGTCCAACACTTCAAAGTCCAGAACAATCCTCTCAAATGAACGATATCTTTGATTTATTATCAAAATATCCAACAGAAATTGATCATTCATCTAACAATACGGATATTTCAATATCAGGTCTAAGCAATATCGATGATCTCTTAGATGATATTGAAAATTTGTCTGCTAATCTATCATCTGGTTTATCCATTTAAATGCATGTTACTATGGCAGATATATATATATGTTATTTATGACATTAATTCTCTAAAATGTACATACCTATACTATTAAGTAGGTACATATGAACAATATAATATCTAGTTTATTATTATGTTTTATAAAATAAGAGATTATATAATTTTATAGGCTTAATAATAAAACATAATAACATTATACCTAAGGTTCATTAATTTTGTTTTTGTGTTTTTAATACCCAATTCTTTTGACATTTATTTTTATTTGATATTATATTTTATATTGTCTTCATGACTTAGCTATAAAATATTTTTGTGTTTCAATTCTAATATTAAAAATATTTTTTTTCTTTGTAAGTAGTACACTTATAACGAAGTAGTTATAACTATCAGTTAATAATAATAAATAATAAAATATAAAATAATTATAATATAATATATTATAATTTATATAATAAATAATAGCAGTTAGTTAACGAACCAGTGGCATCTCTTCAGGGGAAAATTTGAAAATGAGTCTCGTCTTATAAAAAATAGTAACTTGAAAAATAATAATTAGTCGGAATACTTGTGTATAAATTAACAATTATATCGTTTATCTAAATTATTATTGATGGCCACAAAATCTTAAATCTATAAATGGTTATTTGCATGTTAATGAAAATAATTAACTCGAGTTAAGTTAAGAGAATACCAAATCGATAAGTTAAAAGTTAATAATTAATAAAATAAAAAAAAACCTAACTTAATAGTTAATAAAGAAAAAATATTCATTAAGTTTAAAAATAGTTAAATAGTTAATAAAATGGGAATTAATTTACCAAATCCGCTGGTGTTTGGGTGCGTTGTGGGTTGGGTGGATAAATGTACACTCTAGTTAGTAAATCTTAGGAATGTACAAATTTAGTGACAGTCGATCCATAGATGGTAGGATACTAGGTAGATGCGATAGAGCAATTCGCCTATCAATGCATGTCTTTAATACCATATCAAGTATAAAGACGTGTATTGGCATTTGTTTAACATTTAGAAGTATTATATAATAAATACAAAAGTATAATATACTATAAGATTTTAAGTGAATACAAATAAAAAGAATATTGTTCGAGCGAAACGAGAAAAAAAATTTTTTGTACCTACCATATGATAGTTACTACCTGCATGAAATAAGGCGTAAACCCATGATTTATATCAGCAATACATCACTGCATACTATATAATACGTCCAAAGGGTAGTTAAAGCTCTTTAGCCCCCTTTTTATTACTTTAATTTATTATTATTTTACATTTTTATTGATACACGTTTTCCGATATCGTGATATGATTTCGATATAACTGAACCGATATCGATAATTGAAAATTCATTGTGCATCACTAGTATTTTTTTTAATTTTATTTTTTGTAACGGCTTATTTACTAACTAAAACATTGAAACTTAAATCGATGGAAAAATAATAATAAAAATAAGTGCTTTATTTTTTGTTTGTTTTATTGTTGTTCTAGTAAGATTAATTTATTTTTAGTTTTTGCGTCTTTTTTACCATAGTGCTTTTATAGGTATTTAGTACTATTTAGTTATTTTTGTCGATAAAAAAAAAATGGTTTTTAAAATATAGAAAAACTATTTTTTTAAATCACTGAAAAATGTGTATCGGCTTAAGATTGTTTGGGCCCCTTTTACTTGGGTACTCGAGGGGCCCCGGGACTACCACCCTGGCTAGACCCCTTCTTAATCCGGCCTTGCTGGCAACCCTACCTATTACTATTATCTAGTTCAAGGACCGAAAAGACGAAGGAGGAACTTCCACCACCATTATATAAATAATAAATGTATACATTTATACAATAAAAACTCTGTTTTTCTATACATAATGAGTAATGAGTATTTAAATTTGAATTAACATTAACACATTGAATTAACACATTTAGGGAGGATTATCTCAAAAATGGGGGTGCTAAGCTCACCCAAGCCCCCCAAAGTGCGCCTATGGTTCTCTTAAAGTTTTGTTAACTAAGCTGTTTTTATATTCCAATAGCTACTTATTTACTATAAAGTAAAAGTAAACTGTAAATTGTTAAAAAATTTGTATAAAATAATATCTATTATATTAGTTATTTATGTGCAACTAAAAAAAAAAAATATAACGGTTATTTTTCTTACCCCCTCTTCCCTTATAGCAAAATCGAATGTACGCCACTGCAATAGTGTTGATTTTTTAAATTTTCTTAATTTATGTACAATATTATATGTTTATATATATTTATATGCACAATAAAATTTCAAAATTAGCTTTGTGGAAGCATGGAAACGCATTTTTTTCACACTCTGCTATTTTTGTGACTGTGCAAAAAAAATATATAATTACTACACGTCCTCCACCCTACATATCAGTAAATACCAACATTTGGACATCAATACTGATTCATTTATTAGTATAACAGTACATTTTTTTCCTAAATTTGATAATAATTTAAAAGCCATTAACATTTGAACAATAATGTTAAATGAGAGCCATACTGTAGTCTATTTGTCTGAAATTATAACTACAGAATTAAATAAATTTGATATTTTACATTAAGTGACTATAGTGATCGATGGAGGATGAAATATTAATGCTGCTGTTAGACCTATGAATATCCAATATATTCTTTGCATTGCACATAAATTAAATTTAGTAGTAAGAAATACTTTAAGTTACATATGATGATTTAATTGTAGATACAAATAATGAAAATAATGATCATCAAATGGCAATAATACCTAGTATTTACATTTAAATAACTCACAAGGCACCAATGTAGAGAACCTATTAAAAATAATTTTATTTAAATAATAGATTAAATGTAGCTATAGTTATGATGAAAATGTGAACATCTTCATAAAATATAAATTATTATTAGGTTAAATATTTTTTATTATACTATAATTAGCTGAAGATATATTTCACACTACAGATAGGACTTATGCTATATGGAAACTGAAGTCTAAGTGTAGTTAAATCTTAATTCAAATATATAATTTGAATATGTCAAGAAATTCACTGTAAATTTTCATTTAATTATTTTGAAAAATGTTAACACAGGCTCAAAATTAATCAGTCTCTGAATCATACGTGATTTTTTTTTCATGTATTTCAATTCACAAAAAAAATTATAAAAAATACTAATAAAGAAATTATTTACAATTAGGAGAATTTACATTTTCTTTCACAAGATTATAAAGTACTCATAATTGAATAGTAAATAAAATAATTGTACAACAAATAAGTATAATAAAATAAAATAAATAAAATAAATAAACAATTATAATAAACTATAATTATTATAGTTGAAACAAATTGTTTTCAACACTATAAAATAAAAGAAACTTCTTAATTTGTATTAAAACATCGATATAATGATTCTCTGCATTTTAAATAGTTCAAATATTTATTTGTCTTTTAGTTTATCAATCAATTTAATACATTAAATTTTTTTATATTTAATTGATTTAAAAATTGTATTAAAAATCAAATTAAATATCAATAAAATCTTAACAGCGCAATAAACAATTTTAATTAAATACTAGCCATAACTTTGAATACAATATTCTTAATATGATTGAATAACAATAAATTCAAAATAAATATTTGGTATCATCACTTCACTTAATGATATAATAATCATAATAGTTTCTTTTTTTAAATTTTATATAAAATGCAATCTTTATTTTGAGCATAGCTCAAAGGAGTAGATTTATTTTATTTTATTTTATTTTACATACTGTTATAATGATAAAAATAAAGTTAAAAAAAAAAAAAAAAATTTCAATTTTTTTTTGACAATAGGCGATTTTGGTAACAAGTCATAGTGGCGTTAAAAAAGGGGTGCCCCCCGTGAAAATACTTCAATTGGGCAAGTAAGATTTTTCCTCAATAATATATTGATAGGTCAAAAGGTTAAAGCATACTATATATATCGTTTGCAGTTGTATAATTTATATTGTTTTTTTTTTTTTTTTGTGTACATACTTAGTAAATCTTGTGGCAAGTTTTGTTTTAGATAATGAGATGGATTATTAGGAAGTGTGAGAGAGGAGAAATTAGAGATGAGAAAATTTGAATGATTATTGGTATTTTTGTGAAATTATTTGTAATGGCTAGATATAAGTAGTTAACATTTTTAAATCATTATGGAATTTAAGATTATTGATATACCAGGCGGAAATTGTTAGAAGTTTTAGATTTATAGATTAAAAAGCTTGGAATTTAGTTATATTAGTTTTTACCTTGTTCCCTAAAGATGAATACAGTAGGTTATAGGGGATTAGGTTACATTAAATTAGGTTAGTATTAGTAGTATTATTACAATGCCCCGGTAAGAATCCTTTATTTTATTAATACATTGAGCAACATGAACAAACTTGAAGATTTGATATACAACTCAGGATTACACAGTGAAAGTTTCATAAAGGCTTTTGGTACAACATTACAACACATTGGTTCATTTCCAACTGGCACCAATGAGAACTGTCCCTGAAGCATGACATGGTGTGTGTGTTACTATGCAATCTTGAGGAAATGGACATCCAACACATAGAAGGGTGGAGAGTGAAGATGAGTCAGGTTCTGAATTACATTGTGATCCAATTGATGACGATAATGAGACTGATGAGGTGGAGCTTCATAGTGATGATTCAGAGCAGGAAGAATTACAAGGGTTGATGGTAACTGAATGGTCAAAGAGATTTGTGCTGTTGGAAAGTTGTAGTAATGTGGCATCACGGCAGAACTACTTGGCGAAATAATGGAATATTCCAAACCCTAATAGTCAATGGGACATCATTGATAAAATGGAAAGGAAATTTATCGAAGTAAAGGTCACAACTGACTTGAAATTGGCAATGGAAAATTATACTGTGAAGAAAAATGGGCTAGGTGATCATACAGCTTTAGTCACTGTTGGGCCACACGATTTCAAGATACTCTGGACTGACCACCCGGGAGAGGTAAAAGGTAAGGAGAAAGTTGTCAATTTTTTGGTTTGGAGGAACCAGCTTATGAGGGATGCGGGGATTCCAGAAAATCCACTACTTGAGGTGTCAGGGAAGAGAGACTCAGAGCTGCTGCATAGAATATTCTGTTGTACAGGGTTTAATGATAAGGTGGACGCTTAGATCAGATCATTCTGGGAAGCTAGATATGATCCACCAATATTTAACAGAGACTTAGCCAGTGACACACTTGATTTCCTGTGGCTGCAAAATCTATTAGAACATCTCGAAGATCCAAGGCTCAGGGAGGGGCCATTAGTGGAATGTGGTGGTAAAATCTTGCCGGAAGTTATGGTGGACAACCTTGTACTAACGGTTAACACCGACGTGGAGATGATTAACGAATTTGTAACAAGGATAAATGATAAAACCGGAAAGGAACGAGGTCATCTGGGTACTCGGGACGTACAACTTCGTATTTATGGTGGTGAAGATGGTCAAAAAAAAGGAGTACTAGGACGCTGTAGTCACCTTTGCCTCGCGAGTGATGAAACAAAAAGAAGACAGCGAACGCGCAAGAAAAGGCGAGCAACAGGGAAACATTCTTGCAGGGATATATAACCTACTATATATATATACACATATGTGACACTGTGGTTCGAAAGGCAACGCAGAGGGGGTAGAGCCCCTCAAATTTTGTAATTTCTGTTTTGAGAATGCGTGAACAGGAGATTGGTCCATCACGACTCAATTCTATTGTGATATTGTTAATAAAGGGTACTTGGTTGCTCAGGGGTAGTATTACCTAACAATACAGTTTCTCCCAAGTAAAAAAAAGTTTATGAAAAAAAAAAAAAAAGGTTAGTATTAGTATAATAACCTATGTTGGTCATTGCAAGTTGAATCATTTGTTTGCACAGAAGTTGTCTGAACTTATAGTTCTAAATTGGGGAAAGACCTTTTGTTTTTTAAGTGTTACTCGTGATCATATTTTATCTAGGTGTTATAAACAAATAGTTATAAATAATTAAAGAATATTTTACATCGAATATAATACTGATACTTGCTAGTTTAAACATTGAATTCTTTTTGATAAGATATTCCACAAACTGATAATAAAATAACAATTAATGCAGAAAAAATGTATGTAGTACATGTAAATGTAGAAATGTATAAAAGTTTTGGTGAAAACACTGACCATATAAATAAATGATTATGAAATAATAGAATAACAAGGTTGTACACACATGACTGGGTTACATTCAACATGCATAGTTTTTGAAGTCCCAAAAATCTGAATGGAAATTTTTCAAATAAAACCAAATTAGTGATATACTTATTAAGTTAAATAAGCTACAAATAGTATTAGATAAACTTACTTTTGGTCAAGTACTAAGAATAAATAAATTAACATTGGAAATCCAAACATATGAGTAAAAATATGAATTCCTGCTATAACAGGATCATAACTAGTTTGACCAATGTAGCCAGGCACTATGTCTAAAGTGCCAATACTGTTAGAATTACCCTGAAACAGATTAAAAAATGTTTAATACTAAAATAGCAAGCAACATAAATATGAAGTCACATGAAACTATGTTTATAATAACTTCTTTATAATTTACAATAGCAATTTTGATGTAGGACTAAACGACTACAAATTATAAGTGATTTACCTGATAAAAAAAGAATATCAATGATAACCAATAGTGAATAATAGTCATAGTTAAAGTATTCCAGTTTTTCAGTCTAATGAGTTTGCATGTAAAAACCAAGACTGCTGGCAACAAAATGTTATGAGGTCGTAATAACAAAGACAAACGTAGAATTAACAAGACTATTAATATACACACAGCATTATTCCACTTGTTGTTATTATGTTTAATAACAGAAACAATATGAAATCCAACTAGTAAGTACCATGTGATGGTCCATGTATTTAGACAGAATATTAGCTTTCTATAAAAATAATATCACAATTATGATATTTATTTTTTATTGCCCAATAATACTAAGGTTCTTACAATATATTATAACCATATGGTACAGAAACTTCTTTAGTTTCAACCCTGTACATATAAACACAGCACAATGTCCAAAAATACAAAAAATATATAATATAGTTCAATGTATTAAATCGCTTATTGTATTTTCCAGCCTTGTAAATATTGATACAAGTAAAAAATGTACTTAAAATACCTGAAATTGTCAACTTATATTTTAAGTGATTTATATAAATGTTGACTATAAAAAAAATTATTTAAAAATTATCAATACAGCTTACCTATTACCATTAAGGCTGACATATAGCTTTGATTATGAGATTCACGAAACCAATCTCCTAAACTGTAAAATCCCGACCATTGGTTTCCAATATAATTGAGATCTTTACAAAAACGATGCAAAACCATAGAAACTATCCACTTTGCAGTTGTTACATAGTTATGCTCAACAAATGCCATATATACTTGAATAGCAGAAAATCCTGTCCAAAGATGATACAGTAACTGATGTTCTTCTTCAATATAACTAGATGAAAATAGACTTAAAATGTGTACTAATGAACCACATAAGGTGTAAAATACATTTTTATCCATGTCATTTATCTGAAAATAACAATATTTTGTTAATGAAATCTGTAAGATAATATAACCAAATTATTTAGTACCAATGAACTAAAAATTGTAGTTAATGGCCAACAAAAACTACCAAGGTTTATAATGAACATTGTGATTATAACAATGGCCAATAGATTAAATGTAGCAGTGAATTCACATAGGACACTATCACATTGCAACCATACACAAACAGCCCAACGAATTAGCATTAAATATACTAAACGGTTAACTTTAATAAATTTAATATTTACTGCATCAAAATTCATCAGCAATAACCATACCTCGAATAAAAAAAATTTGCAATAAATCAAATTATTTTAAAAATATAACTAAGAAAAGAGTTGAATTAAAAAAAACAATATTTTGAAAATTATAAAAAAATACAACACATACCTGTATGGATAAAATAATTGAAACAATTATGAGAAACACATCAAACTTGGCTATTGATTTAACTAAGTAGTTGCTCATACCATTTAATGCAGATTCATACAAAGAAATAATATGGAGCGCTTGATCAATGGAAGCGTTTTCTTTCTTTAACCAATCATAATAACTAAAAATCGCATGATTGAAATCCTTCATGAAACCTAAAGATAATGAAATTTATATTTATATATTTGAACAACAAAACAAATTTATAAATAACTCGGATACTCCATTTAAGTAATTATTTTTCTATTACAATCAAAATAACCATTCATATTATAGTATAAACATTATAATTTACAGTATCAACATTTTCACAATTATAGCTCACAAAAATATTAGTATAAATGTAATATACAATTTATTTAAATTTAAATAAATATTTTTCAATATAAAAACTGGCTATAGGAATATTATTATTTTATATTAATTTACAGAACAAAATAAAATAAAACAGAATAAATAACAGTGTAATTTGGTTTGGTAGAACAATTGAAAGAATTACCTAAATCAAAATAATATAAAATTGTAAATAAGTATTAATATAATAATTTATATTATATAAAATAATATATTTTTACTTTTTCAAAATTTAAGTATTAGAAAATATTGAAATAATTGATAGATGTTATTTTTTTTTAAATTATTTATTTTTTTTGTGACTTTCAACTGTTTACATTGCTTAAAATGTAGAAAATTCGGTCATTATGGTGAATGTTAAGTTGAAAAGTAATGAAAGAAGCATTTGATTTTTAAATTTTCTTAAGGTATATATTAATATATAATATAGTACATACTTATAATTCATAAGATATAATATATAACATGTATTACCTTTCATTGAAAAATATCACCTTAATTTTTTTTTTTTAGAAAAATAATATTTATAGTTTATATATATATAAATTAAATGATGGTATTTTTAAATACTATTTTACATAATAAACTTATGATATATTGAGTATTTTTTAAAAGGGAATGGAATTTTATTTAATAGTACATCAAACAAAGGTTTAAATGTAAGTATTTGTAAAATGAAGGAAGGAGAAGATCAATTACATTGTTATTTTTTCTAAAAATATTAATTTATAAAATTTGTGGTAAACAACATTTATACTTAAGTTTAAACCACAAAAAACTGGCAACCATTTATATATTAATTATATGAGCAAATAATATAATAAGTGCAAACAATTCTCTAATAAATTTAAAATAACTATTAAAAACATAATTAGCAAACAAACATACAACTAAATTAAAGTAAGTAATTATAACTTATGTACCTATAATAATTAAAAATACCTTTATTCATTAATCCTTTTCTTGAATTATAATTTTTATATATTTGTTGTGTATTATAATGATAAGCAAAGAGAATTTCATTGATATTAAGATTTTGCAAGATTTTATGTATTAGCTTTCCTGTGTTTCCTGAAGGTATGGGTAGCCCCATAATTACTGAAATGGTTGGCACAAAGTCTGTTTGCATTATTTCACCTCTATAGTTTTTAATAATAATAAATATATAGTTAGTAAAAACATGTGGTTTGAATCAAACATTTTTATTTAAGTATAATAAATTAAACATACTCTATAGATCCACCACAAATTTTATTTTTAAAATAAACAAATAGAGGAACTACTACTTCGCCAATTGACGATCCACCATGACCACCATTGTCACGCATTCCATGATCGCCACAAACTATTAAAATTGAGGGCAGTTCTGATTCTTCAGAATTCTATTAATTAATTTCAAAATATTAGACTAATGTATAATACCTATAGATACTACTAATCTCTATCTTAATAGATAATAATCTTATAGTTGAACATTAAAATAACTATTAATAAAAATAGTTACCATATAATTTACTATACGTTGAATAATATTATCCATCTCAGACAACTTGTTGGGCATCAATTTACTTCGAGGTCCACCCATATGGCCTATATGATCCAGTCCTAAGTAATGAAGTATCATAATATCCCAATCGGCTGATGATTTTAATTCATTTTCTAGATGACGAGTAACATTATTATCAACCTAAACAAAATTGTAATAAGCCTAATGATCATGACTAATAAGAAATAATGCAATAGTATACTTCAGTGTAATCTGATATGTAAAATGATGTAATTCCATCATATCTGATAAATGAATTTGGAAATAACTTTAACCATGTATCATCCCCATAGAATATTACATGCTTATTAGCAGCACAAGCTTGGTAAATAATACTGTCTTGTTGAACTGCTGAACTATCCAAATTTAACACAAGATCGATAAAATTTGGTACTGTACCTGTAGTTAGGGCCTGGTAATAAAATATACTTCAGCTTATTATCAATTTATAAATCAATTACTAAATTATTATACTTTTATACGTGGCATTGTAACTGTAGGAGCATTCACTCTAGTACGAAACAAACAACTTTGGTTTTGCTTTATGAGATCAATAGAAAATGGCATAAATACATTATATTCTGGTTCCATAAAGAAATCATATCGAATACCATCTATTACCATCAATACGACTCTATTCACAGACTTTTGATATAAACGACGAGTATCGAAACTAAAAATCAAAATTGATTATTAAAAATGTATTGAAAAAATTATCAATTTTAAATATTAGGTAAGTTATTAAATAAGGTTAGGTTAGTTGTTAGGTAATTCATTCAAACAATTTTTTTTTTTAATATCAAGAAAACCATGAAACGTTGCAGCTAATAATACTACATGTTTTAATTAGATACTATAGTTTAATATATAATAATTCCTATAATATAGGATAATAATAATAATAAAATAGTTTAATATAATAATAGTTTAAAATTGAAGTGGTGTAAATCACAATATCATAACTTTGAAAATTAATACCTTAATAATTTAGAAAAATAAAGTAAATATTTTAAATTTAATTTAATAATTCAAGCTAGAAATTCGAAATTTAAATAAACTATAATTTAATTAAGCTCCAACAGTATCTTTATAGAATTATAAGTAAATGACCAATCATTATATTCAACTGAATAGAAAATGGGTGAACTTTGTCTGACACAAAAATGAAATCTGTAGAACTAAATAGAATAATCAAGTATAAAATTGTAAAGAAATAGAAAAATAAGTATCAAACCATTTAATAAACTTGTTGCTGCAGACTTGGATAATATAAGGAATAATAGTAGAATAGTATTTCCCATTTAATGCTGTTTTTAATACTTTTTTGAAAATAACCCGAAAAGATATTCTATAGTAAAACAATAATCTTGTATTAGAGCAATTTAGTATCTTTTATAAAAAATTTAAAATAACATTTATATTTTACATATTGGAAATAAATGCTTATTTAGTGTGGTTTTGGACTCTTCATTAATATTCAAAATATGTACTGTAAATACTTATAAAAAGTATTTTACCCAAGTCTTCGGTGGAATTATTGGTCAGACCAACTTGGTCTCATCATACCATGAGATTCGAGATGATAATCGAATACTATGAGATAAAATTTAGTTGTGAGTGACATTAAATAGGCGACATGGATTACGAGGAATAGCAGCTGCTGAACGTCGAGAATGATTAACGTAAAGCAATATTATTACCGCCAAGGTTCCGAGTGGTTAGGGTTCGGTCGCAATGTCGACGGCAAATCGTTTGGCGTCGACGTTAGACTGTCGTTGTAGCCAAAAGAAAAGAACCCATAGAGAAACAAAAGGTCGGCGAATATCTTGCATGACGATAGGTACAGCAGCGTGACCGACCGCTTAGTCAGACGCATGTTCGCGGGACGATCACCGAACTTTTCAAAATTTCAACTCGTCATCAATACGATCATTCCATCTTCACTACCGTCAATCACTTCCATTTTCCACCGAATCTCTTTCGCACAGTGTTATCTGTGCACCGCGATTAAAAATGTACATAAGAATATTAATTTTAATATTTCTCTACAATCGTTATTTGTATATAGAGTTCGACGATCAACAGCATAGGATCACTCGGCGAACGTGAACGAGGCTGGACACCGAAAGTGTCTGCGACCAATGACCAGGGGTCAGTTGAAATCTGTATGGAACGGTACTAGATAGTTCAGATAATAAGTACCTAACCTGAGAATCGGCGACCGGTTGAAGTTGGGTCCGAGAGACTGCAAAGAGTACGGTCATCTGGCGGCATTATGAATTTTTCGCCGATTATGTTAAAATATCTTATAATTCATCGGTCCATAGAAAATAGATTAAATCGGCCTCCGTAGTAATAATGGTATTGTAATTACTGTTCGTATTAAAATAGGTATTGTCTTATTGTTTTGTTATTGATTTATTGTTATGCGGAAGCTATACGAAAACCGTCCAATAGGCACAGAACGCAAGTTAGGAACCAATATTCAAACGCGCCATTTTGCTCAGGTTTTTAGTTTTTAGTGAGCAATCGCTCGCTCGATTAATATTTCTCTCTCACTCGCGTGCGTCCACATATCGGTCCAACGATTCGCTCAGCGCACTTGCTCTCTCTCTCTCTCTCTCTCTCTCGCACACTCCGTTCATGATTTGAGATTTTGTGATTTGTCAATTCACCAACAACAGCGCCAGCGGACGACTTGATCAGGAATACGAAAATACCACATTTATATTATTCCATTATAATAATATTGTCGTTTTCGTTGTACCTTTTTGTACGCATAACTGTACATAATATAATATTTATTTTCTGCCACTATCTACGGGAAAACCCAGTAATTTTTTAGTTATTCAAATTGTTTATTTTTTTTTATCACACGTACGACACACGACTCACATTTCGAACCGGTGTCGTGTTCATAGTTTTAATTTTTTCTTCCTTCCCCCCCGATAATTATTATCAACAACACCGTCATCATCATCATCGCAATCATCATCATCATCATCATCGAATATACGCGATGTACGTCGTGTCCTGTGAACCTCACGGACATGTTTTCATCTCGTGATAGTAGTCTATAGTTGCAGCCGTTCTCGTCTTCACCGCCGCCGCCGCCGCCGCCGCCGCCGACACCAACGCTGTCGAGAACACACCGACACATGCGTATTTATTATTGATAGCGAATTGTTTGGAAACGCGAATAGTGTCGATACTAATACATTATATACACGATATAGCTATTAACGCATCACGGTACGCGTAACGATCATCGAAACTGGTCGTTGGAAACGGAATAATTGCTCGTGACTAGTAAAAGGTAGCATCAGATTCATTGAACGCCTCCGCCGTCATCTGTATTTGTCCGCATTACGGGTTGTAGATAGTTCTTGAACAGCACTCGATTTTCCTATAGGCGACATCATGTCGGTGTTACCACGAAGAATTCTCAAGGAGACCCAACGCCTTATGCAAGAACCGGTGCCCGGCATCAGTGCCAAGCCGGACGAAGGAAATGCTAGGTATGTTGCAACGCTTTCTGCCCTACTTTGTTTTAATGTTGTTCACTCAGTATGAATACATCTCTTGCCTATTGGTGTTTTTCTCTTTTCGGTTTATCGCATAATCATATGTTTTGTTTTTAATTGTCATCCAGGTATTTTCATGTTAAAGTTACCGGTCCTGAAGACTCTCCGTTTGAAGGAGGTCTCTTCAAGTTGGAGCTGTTTTTGCCTGAAGATTATCCCATGTCTGCTCCAAAAGTTCGCTTCATCACTAAAATATACCATCCAAATATCGACAGACTTGGAAGAATATGTTTGGATATTCTGAAGGATAAATGGTCACCTGCATTGCAAATTCGTACCGTTCTTTTATCTATTCAAGCATTGCTGAGTGCACCAAATCCAGATGATCCATTAGCCAATGATGTTGCTGAACTATGGAAAGTAAATGAAATTGAAGCCATACGTAATGCTAAAGAGTGGACACGCATGTATGCCACAGAAAACTGAATAGTACGCTTTAAGTGAGGAGTATAAAAATAAAGTTAATAATTGTAATAATTTAAAATACTCGGAACGACAACCATTATAAATCGAGCAATATAATTTATATATTTTTTTCCGGCCGTTAACTTTTAGCTTATGGAAATTTATCAACAATATAGAAAATGGTAATGAAGGAATTACTTGTTAACATATTTTTATGTCCTCAAATTGTATTACTATGCCTTTGGCACTGTAATCAATAAAAACTTAAAAGGGTAGGAAGTTTTACTAGCTTATTCCACTGAATGAAATATAGTTTTTAAGTCATCAGTGAATACTAGTAAAACATTATATATTTACATAATATATATATATACTCATTTTAATGTAATGCTTTTATCAGTTGTATCTTAATTTAAATTTGTCCATATTTTACAATTATATATTTTTTTTTATAATTATTATTATATTGCTGAAATTTATCATTTTTGTGTGAATATAACATTTATTTAAGACTTACCGAGCCTTTAAATAAACTTATCATGTATCTACTGATGTTTATATAAGTATCCTGAGTTGATTTTTTTACAGCTATTTCAAAAAATATGTATTTTTTTTTCTTAATGAAATAAAAATAAATGGTAAATCATTAAAATATTATAAATATTGGCTTACGGCAATGACTAAAGAAATGAATTAGTCCTCTTTGTAAGGATATAGGTAAAATTATTATTTAAGAAAATAAAAGTATAATTGGTTTTAGATTGTAAGTAAATTGCAATTTTTGTATCATTGGTTTTGTTGAGTAATACATGGTTGTATTTATTCATTATTATTTGGAACTAAAATATATTATAAATTAATTATTAAAAGAGCCATCTAATTACTTTGTTAGGACCTGAAATGTTTCTAAATTAAATTAATTTAGTGTATTTTTGTGTTTTTATTTGATTTAGATTTTGAATAAAGAAATGTCTTAAATTTTTTGCAGAAACTACTTTAAAGTAAATATGTTATTTAAATTAAAACATACTGTTTCACTAAAACTTTGTTTTCAGTGATACGTCTATAAAAATTACAATAAATCAATATATTTTGATATATTTACCTCTTAAATACAACTTAAAAATATAAGGGGTCTATAATTTGACTGCTTGCTTCTTATATTCTTATTCATTAATTTTTTTTTTTGTTACTGTATTGTACTAAGTATCTAATATAAAACAATATACCAAATTACCCATCTACAATAAAATTATTTACTTTTTTTTGTTTGTGACAATAGAAGAATCAATTTTTACTTATATTTAAAAAATTGTTTTTAGTGCCCTTCTATTATTTTTAATCATCTCTTAAATATTGATATCACTCTGTCATCCTTTATATATACATTAACTTAATAGTTCCATGTCACTTATATAATAATACTTAATTGTTTCAATACATTTATATTGACAAGTAAATTATATAAATAAAAATTATCTAAAAAAAAACAGATGTATTGAAAATTACACAACAATTAATGCATTATTTTTTTTAACGAATAAATGTAACATTATTTTATTTGAAAAAGTTTTTCTTTCTATAGTGAATTCATAAAATAATTAAGTGTGTATATTTATTGATGTTATCTTGATTAATAATTTCCAACTAATGTTAAAATGTAAATAATTTGTTGAGCTATTGTTTCATAAAGTTGTTACTGATAGTGTAACTGGTAAGTTAAATATATTACCTTAATAACTGTAATTTGACTTTTAACTTTTACATTTACAAATAAACTTATCTATAGGTATTAATAAATAATAGCATGCATGAAAAAAATATAGAAGAATTAAAAATAATTAGAGTTTTTTTAATATAGCCAAATCAACTTAGTTAGATATTTTAAATAAAAAAATTGAAAAAATTGTTTTTTTTTTAAAAAATTTTATTTTTTAGTTTGAAGAAAAATAAGTAATAATTTTAACAGAAAATTGATTTGCCTTATTTTTTTTTTTTTAAGTGAAATTTTCATGATTACTGTTTTATAAATACCAAAATTATTGTTATATTATATGATTACACATACAACAAGTTTTATGTATCTAAGAGAGTGAATTTAAACAAGCACAGTATTAGATAATCACATATTATTTTAATGCTATTATCTTGGTATTTGGTGCTAGAAATAGTCCTGTATTTAGAATCACTCTGTCATTAAATCTATTTAAAACTTATTTTTTGTGTATAATATAATAAATTGTAATCAATGTGATGCTTGAGAAAGAAACACATTTCAAAAAAATTATTTGTATTATTTATTATATTTTAAATATTATTTTTGTTATAATACATAATTTTTAAGTCTAATGACCATAATGAATATTAGGATTAAAAATTACATCGCAACACATTCATTTACGATGATGACTAGAATAATTAGGAATTAAGAATTGTCACAACTGCCATGTCATTAGACGAGTTTTATGTATGATACGTACATTTGAGTTGTTCAAATGACAACAATGTTATGTTTACAATGTTGTCGGTTCAAAGTATAAATTAATACAATGCTACAGCAACATAATATACATTAGCAAATAAAGTAATTATCACAAATAAAAATAAAATAACAATAACAACTTTTAAAAAAATATAGAAAAAAAACAAAACATTAAAAAAAAAAGTAGGGTCTTAAATAGGTTGATTAGACTTAGAAAAACATTTACATGTAAAGTACAATAATATAAATGTTTGTGATATGGCAATATTTGATAAATTGTGTTTTAAATGTGTATGCAATTATTGTTTAAATTGTCTTAAATATAATCTAAGTTGTTGAATCAAGACAATCAAAACAATAATAAAAAAAAAAAACTATAAATTTTAAAATTAAGAAAATATTCGGAAAATTAGTATTTCCAGATTTTATTAATTCCTCCCCCCACTTACTCATTGTACTCAATTTTTACATTAATGAAGGGAATGATGAGGAAAAGATGCCCACAGATATTGTGCAAAATAACCATTTACTAGTCCACAAATTTGCCAGGCAGGATATCCACAGTCCACTGAGATTGCAGTGTATTCATACGTTGTGATGATTAACACTGCTAACGTCCCAAAAATATCATTTATCCTTCATGGTTGTTCAAGGTTAAAACCTTATAAATTCAAATTGGTAAATATTTTACACTTTAAAATAATATTTAGATTATTTGTGTCTAATGACTAGATAAACACAGGTGTCTCTTGACCAGTCAGGAGACGAAACATAGATGTTGGCATTGTTTTCATCAAAATCTACGAAATAAAAATGTGTTAATCAATAATGTATACTCCACAACAACAAAATATAATAATTTTAATATTTTTATCTAAGTGAATAAAAATCATTGAAAACATTCGTGACTAGTAAAAAGATTTTTTTTTTTTGTGGAAATTTAAATTTTTTGTTAATTATCAAATTTACTACCTCCTACAGCAGTGTTTCCCAAACTTCTTATCTTTACCGTCCACTTCCAAAAAAAAAAAAATCTGACAGACGCCCCATTAAAAAAAATATTGTTATAAAAGTATGCCATGAAAAATTAAATTTATTGTTTATAAATATATATAATGTATAGTTTCAAATGAAAAAAAATATCTTAATGAAATGGATGTGGTTGATATTAGGTTCGATTTTCGTAAGCAGCATTCTTAAGTCCCCATGATTAGTTATTTGTAACCGTTCTTTTTTTAGTTAGTAGATTGGTTACTGCACTAAACAACACGTTCATCCAAGTAGGATGATGGAAATGCGATTAAAAATGTTGGTACAACAACCCACAATCCAGGATAAAGTATAGGTAGCTGCTTTTGTAGCCAGAATACTTGATAATCTTCCTTGAACTTTAATTTTAATTCCTCATTTGTAGTTACTTCTATCAATTCTTCTTATTTTACAGAATCTATGGTTTCTGTATTTGAAAATGGGTCTAAAACCCATTTGGGTATGTCCATTTAAGAGTACCACCCCCTTTTTGTAAGGAAATGCCCCCAATTAAGCTTGTAACTTCCATTGCCCTCCTGGATAGCTCTAGCGCCCCCAAGGGAGCAATATCGCCCACTTTGGGAAACACTGTCCTACAGTATTCAAAGTACATCAATCATTATTATGCTTATAGAAGTAACCTAATTTCTTAACATCACATTTTAGGTATATATCCAAAAATCAAATTATATTGTTAATATGGTATCGATGCAGTCATGTAATTATTAAATACAAATTTCCCAAATAAACTTAAGATTAGTCAATAAAATAAATAAATAGAGAAAAGAGAATTAAAAATATTAAAATTGAGATGTAAAAGTAAATTTTTATTTATATACATTATATTCCTAATTCTTTTATAATGGTTATACATTAAAAAAAATAATTGGTCTTTATTAGAGAATTTAAGATTCTGAGTGAAGTGAGGAATATATTTCTTATTATTATTAACTATAAAATATTATCTCTTACTTCTCCTACTGACGTTGCTAGTAAATTTACAATTTTTTCATGTGGTACAGCTACTACGCTTTGATTATTAATTTCAATAATTCTATGGCCAACTCTCACTCCACCACGTTCTGCGATTCCACCACGAAGTAAACTGCATATCTGTTTTATAAGATTTAATTAAACAAATTAATTTGACATTTTCATTGAAATGTATTTAAAAAAAAAAAAAAAACGTTTTTACAAATTCAAAAATATATTAAACCACTTACCACACCATTTTGAACACTAAAACCAAGTTGGTATTTTGTGTCTGGTCTTTTTATTTTTACCTCAACTACTGGAGCACATGGAACAACGGTTAACTTAATCACTGTTTGAGGTTTAGAATTCTTTTAAAAAAAAATTTAAAAAAATGTATTAGTTTTTAATTGGTATTTTGGATACAATGGTAAATAGATAGAAGTAGTATAATAAATAGTACTTTTATATAATTTTGACATGTAGACAATGGCAGACCTACGAGTGAAACACCATTAATAGCAATGATTTGATCACCAATGTTCAGTTGTCCACAGCGTGCAGCTGCTCCTGCTGGAGCTAAGTTTGCAATTACAACAGTAGGTAGCATGGAACCCCAACCTGACTCGACTATCACAACACCAAGTATTTCTCCTTTAGACTTTGGTACTACAACCTATACAGGTTAATAAAACATTGAAATTGAATATTTATAAATCTTAACTTTAAATATCAGTTTGAGGGGAAAAATCCATAAAAATTAACATAAGTAATTAATCATAATCACATTTCATTGTAAATTCATAATTAGCAATTATGTAATTTTTAACATTTTGAGGGTATTATATATTTGTGAAACAATGTGGAAAATGTTAGAAAAAAAGACAAAATTACATGTTTTATTCAATGTTATACAAAATTAAGCCAGAATTAAGGTTTTATTTATAACAATTTCAGAGTAAATAGTTTGTATGTATAAAAATTACAAATTAAACTATATAATTGTGATAAATGACTAATAATTCCTGGGAATTTTGGTTATGTTATTATTATTATTTAATGGTGCATAAGCAAAAAAAATATAAGTAGATAAAGATAAAAAAAAAACACTAGTTTAACTGATAAGAATAGAATTAAATGCATAAAAAAATAACATACTTCCTTTTGCAATTCTTTCTTTGCAAACATTTGTAATTCATCTCCAAATATCTCTTGTGAGTTCAATACTTCTTGATAGTCCATTTCTTTAACAAAACTATGATCCTCTATGCCATTTGCTTTTAAGAATTCCATATACGCCACTTGAAAGGCTTGACCAATAGATTGAGCAATGAACTGAGCCTGTACAAAAAAGAATAATGATTTAAAATTAAATTATATTTTGATTTATTAAATTATAATGACAAATACTTGGAAAAAATTATTAGTCATTAGTATTTTTAAACAAAAAAAAATCACAAGATAAAAGTTAGACTACATTTATTTTTGTATGTTAAAATGTATAAAACTATTATATAACTTCAAAATGTTATTTTATAGTAATAGTAAAAAGTGCTTTGAGATCTAGTTCCAAATAATAATAATGTCAAAAATATATCATGAAGTTATAAGTTTTCCAACTAGTTAAAATCAATAATACATGATATGGTATGTCATATTGACAGTTTACACTTGAGCAAATAAAATAAAATTTTATATTTTAATGGTATAACAGTTTTACCGTCAGTAGTGTTTTATCAGTGTCTCATAATATACTTCTAGATAATTAATTGATGTTTCTTACTTCATCACTCTCAAAAACATGGCATATCATCTTGGGGGTTCTATTATTAGCTGATTTATCAATGCCATTCACACTAGAAGACACTAATGCAGTTTCTGTGGTGGATTCAGATGATTGATGTGTGAGGAAACAACGTCTTCGAGCCATTAATACAACCAGTTCACCAATATCAGCTATATAAGAAATGGTCCTAAGGGCATGGTCCATCATGATTTCTTTCAAATCAGTATTGAGAACCATTATTTTTTCAGTCGAAATAAAAAGATCTACTTCTGTACTTGGTTGAGTTTCACCATCTGGAGCCTGATTAAATTATTAAATTACCAATGTTACATAAATTTAAAGTAATTGATACTTTTTCCTACTTACCAAAGCCTAATTTATAATCCAAATTTAAGAAAGCAGGAAAATAAAATTATTCATGAAACATTAAAGTTCAAAAATTATTAAATATATTACTTTTATTCTAGATACTGCTTCTTCAGCTTGCATCATTCTCGTGCTCTTAGTAGGTTGTCCTTCACAAGCCAACTGTGTAGAACCCAAGTAGCGTGCTCGGAATAGAACACCTTCAATTAACACTGCAGGTTCGTGAATCATAACTAAATATTTAACATAAATATAAAAATGAATTTTAGTTACATTATTATTATACATTTTTAAATGCTACAAATTAAATTTTACATTTATACAATTGCATTAATAGTCTTATAAAATTTCAATACAATGTGTTGTAATAATTACTAATATATTAGGACACAAAGAAAAATTGAAAATGTAATTAATACTATTTTGTCCAATATTTAATATTCATATAAATGTATTCTTATATTTATATTTTATTATAATTTAAAAATTAAATTGTTAAAATATTTAAAAGTGAGCATTAAATATTGATAATAAAAGTTGTGTGTGAATTGTTGGACTTACCGTGCATTCAAGTGCAATAATGTGTTAATTCCATGTTGTGCAGTTGATAAAAAAAAAATAAAAAGGCAATATTGTTAGTGTTAAGATAGTAAATTTATAAAAAAAAGAAAAAGAAAATCCATAGGAAATAATATTATTAAATCATACTAGAGATGGTGAATTTCAAAAACTTGAAAATTATTATTTGTTATAGAAAATACAATTTTATTACATAAACTATTGATTTTATAATATTACATTATATAATCAATGTATATGTTATTGTTAGATTTTATTGAAAACCAATACAGTTCAAAAACAACCAAAACAGTTAAAAAAAACTAAAAAATATAAATTAATCATTTGAAAATATTATAATCTAAGTAATGCTATATTTTTAAATAAATATTTCTTAACATTCGATAAGCAATCTAAATACTATAATTCTAAACATGCAATAAAAATCCTTTACTAATAAATTAGATGAATACTTTAAATAAGGAAATCTAAACTCATTTTTTTAAACAAAAATGTAACACAATTGCACAGTATATTGTCAAATCAGAAAAAATAAAAATAAATAGAAAAAAACATTATCTTAAATTAAGTGTAAATAAAATATAAAATAATATAAATTATTAATAATTATTATTTTTGGAAATATTTTTTTTTATTAAAATAATTATTATGTAACGTATAATGTACCTATGTATACATTTTAGTTAGTGAAAATAATTATAAAATCGTGCAGATTAAGTTTTAAGAAAATCATTTTATATTAACATCAAAGCATACCTGTTTGTTGTTGAGGTATTCCTAACGGAATAACAAAAACAAAACAAAGCTGTTAAGATCCATATATATTTAATATACACAAATAAAAAAATAAAAAATTGGTAATAATGTTTGTGCTTTTATCAGTTTTTATGAGTTTTTGTAATTATAATTATTACATTTAAAGTACTTTGCTGCTAACAGGCAAATTGATAGCAAGTGTATAAAGCATTATTATTCATAACTTTACTTTTGGAATATTTTATGTAAAGCAGAATAATTTTAAAATCATATGTAAGTAAAATAAAATATTAATTGCCTTTAATTTATTGAGTAGCAATAAAGCATTATTGAATACTGCTGAAAATTGCCTCAATTTCCCATGCGGCATAATAATATTAATTAGCACTTATTAACTAACTTTTGTACAATTTAATCAAAATATTGGTATATTTAACAACTATAATTCTACTAACCTTCTTTATTGCGAGATTTCTTTTTAGTTCCATCTTTTTCCTGTAAGAAAAAAAATAAAAACATAGATTCAAATCAATTTATAAAATTTAACATTAATTGAATATAACTACAGTGGCGTACACAAGAATTTTTATAGAGGAAGGGGCTGATAATTTATATGTTATATTACAAATTTAAAAAATTATTTTTTTTTTTTTTTTATTGCTGTTATTATGTTTAAGTTATATTACAAATAAATATAATAACTGCAAAATAGGTATTTAAAAAAAAATTGCTTATATTAATAAATCACTATTTATGACAACATTTAATACCATTCAAAATTAAGATTATATAATTTGAGATTTCCTGAAATTTTGAGAAATTTAAAAATTATCATTGCAACTCTTACCATTCAGATACACCACTGAAATACTACATTTTAAATAATAAGATAATACTATGTTAATAAATAAAGAAGTACACCATTTGCCAAACATTCATCTACTGGATTCAAGCAATTATAATCAAAATACAAGTCCCAACAACAAGTGATTAAACAAAAAGTTCAAGATTATATTACTTATTACTGAGGCCCAGATTTTTATGCAAAAAATATCATTATAAATATATTACATCATATAAATTATTACAACTTAATATTATTTACAAATTATGGAATAAGTAATTATTAATCAATTATATGATATAAATTCAGAATTAACAAAAAATATTAATTTTAAAACAAATACTATTACGAAAATACAAAACATGATTACAGATTTTTAAAATGGAAGCTTTTACAGTTGTCAAGTAGCATAGATTTATATTTAGAAAAACTTCTTTCTATGCCACAAGACGCTTAGTGAATATTTAAAATAAGATATGTCTTCAGATAACAATTCTACAATATCTTCATTTTTGTTACTTATTTTTCTACTTCATATTTCACAAAGTGTTTTAATTCCAGAATACCTTGGATTTTAATATTTTTCCTTTTCTAAAATAGATACAACTAAAATATTTTTTATTTAATATTTATAAAATACGCAAAAACAAAAATTATCCTTAGGAATCTATACAGTACAAGATGTTGACATTTGTCATCAAAATAATTCTAGGTCAATTGTAAAAGAATATGTAATTACATAAATATTCAGGTAATAGTTATTACAACTGAATTTTTAAGTAGAGTCCAGCTTATTATTTTGAATATCATTCCTCCTCTTTTATTAATAACTAATTAACTTTTTAGAAAAATGTATTAAATTAAATATACATATAAATTAATCAAATTTTCCTTATTTATAATAAACAAATCTCGGAACTTTAGGCATTTGCATATTTGTTTAGAAAAATACATATTGAAATTCTGGTTTTATATAAAGTCGATCCATAATACACAGATTTCAAATACAAAAATTAAAATTGCATAATTTTGCATACTTCGTTGTTTTTTGTAAAAATTTGCATATTTTAAGCTTAAGAACTTTTATATGCATAGATTTAACGATTTTTTTTTTTACAAATTTATAATTCAATAAAAAAATTAGATATATGACAACCGAAATTCACATTTGATATCGTTTGACAAAATAAATGAATTCATCAATAGCTATTTTAGTATTGATCTCAAAGCACTTAACAATGATATAATCTCTATTGTTGCCAACTGTCTTGAATTTATTTTTATATAAATTTACCAAGAGATTATTATTGTACCATAATATAAAGTAGTCGTTTTCAATATTTCTGCATTTATCCTCAAGAGGATTAAAATTTAATGAAGATTGTATAGCTTGTAGAACAGGAAGACACAAGAATACACAAGTGTGCATTGTTTATGTTTTTTTAAATTTAATTTTAACTTTTTTTTCTCATATACCTAATTTATGTAAATTATATTTTATTGTATTTTCCAAATTTTTACTGCATATTATGATGTTTTTTAATGTATGTATGTGTTATGATAAAAGTTAAAAAACATAAAGTTCCAAGTCTTGATAATAAATAAGAATATCCTATCAAAAATAATTTAATATAATAATTGTCTTAAAGAATTAGTAATATTTTGAAAATGGTAGTAAACAATAAGTTAATATGTTAAATGAAAATTTAACTTTCATAATCGTACATCAAAACAGGTGTCGGTTGTATACATCAGTGTTATAGATGTTTGTAAAATACTGTAACAGACTGAAAAAAGAAAAAAAAAGTAAATTGAATTTATGTATAAGCTTTATAATGAATTGTAATAAATAAAAAGGAATATTTTATTTAATTGTTCCAATAGTTTTTTTTATTTTTATTTAAAACTCATAAAAACTGAAGAAAATATATATGTATGTACTGCTATAATCTTATAGATAAATTTATTATAATTATTATTTTTCTTAAATAATACATTTTAAAATTAATATCATAGGATTATTTTATTATTACGAGACTTATAATTACAATACAATATCATTTAACAGTGATATTTTAATATAAATATCAATGATTAAAATTATCTGGTATCATATCCAAAAATAAATAATTTATTGAAAAATATACATTTATATTCTAGCTCATTCTAAGAAACAAAAATATGGTATAGGAGATATCACCTGTTGTAAGATACAGTCTAATTAAATGAAAAATTTAAAATTGTGCAATGCGAATAAAGAACAGCAAAAAACTGTGATCAACTAATAATATGAAAATAATAAATATACAATTCAAAATGTCAAAAATTGAACAATCATTAAAGCACTTAGGCAAACCTTTTTTGCAGGGTTAAGGGTTTGGGGTACGATGAATGGTTTTTCAATATTAGCAGCCGGTTCTACGGGTGCAGGATGCGAGGACGTATTGCTTGATGATGATGTCAAACTAAACGGTAACAAAGACCGTGTTTTTGACTTCTTCCAGTCCTGTGATGATATTTTATACAAAACTAATTTTTTTTCTCTTAAATGTTTATTAATTTATAAAATAAGATGAAAAAATGTAAATAATTGACCAACTGGATTAGAAACATATGTAACAATTGCTCAAACAAAATACACCACTTGAGTAAATACTATACATAAAACCACTAGGGGTTATCAAAGTATGAGGAAAATAATTTGTATACAATTTTATAAAAACTTACAGCTTTTTCATCAAAAAATCCAGTGTCATCAGTTCTTTGTTGTCCTAAAAGTCTATCAGTTTCTAAGTCTGTATCTGCTTCTTCTAATGAATGAATATGAATAAATAAAAAAAATTGCAACTTCAAAAAAAAATTTTTTATACCTTCATCACCACTAGGTCCAGAACCAACTCCTCTATGTCTAAAAAAAAAAAAAAAAAAAAAATGGTTAAAGATTAAAATATTTACAATGGAAATCAAATTATACTTATTTATTATTAGGTAAAATAATTACATTATATAATAATTTTACCTTGGTACCCAAATGGGCAAATCTTCAGTTTTGGCAGTATTAGAGTTAGTACTATCTTTGCTTGGACTACAACCCGGTGATATGTCATCATCAACATTGGTAGTTTTTAAGGGTTTTGTTTGTCTAAGACTAGATCTTATTTCATGAATAGCAGCCTCAACCATATCAGCAGATTCATTAACACTACGATGTGCTGTTGGTGCTGGTGGTGGAGGTGTTCTACTCTCATCAGATCTTACTAAAAATAAATAGAACGCATTTAGTGTCAAATAATTTAGAGGTTCGCTAAAATGATATATGTAATTTTAAAACTGTAATTTTGTATATAAAATAATAAAATAGAATAAAAATAATTATACAACTGTAAAATAAAAATAATTTTTCTGATATTTTGCTGTAACATAAAATTATGTATTTTGTTTAGTTTATTTTCTACTATAAGTTTTCAAAATTCTAATATATTTCAAGTCAATTGAAAAACAAACCTAAAGAATCCAATAATTGTATTCCAGTTTCTTGGCAATTGGAATGCATTTCACTTGTATTAGTGTCATTGTTATCACATTTACTGGGCCTAGTTGTACGTTCTATTATTTCTCTTTCAATCTCACTAATTTGCCTTTTCATTAACAATACCTAAATACACAACATTTTATAAATAATGGAAATATAAATTATATAATACCTACAGTTGGATTATTGTTGTCTGTATCACTTGTGTGACCACTGGACAATCCATCTTCTAAAACTGGCATGGTGATAGATGTTACACCACATATTGGAATAAGATGTTGACCATCTACCATAGAAGATGACTCTCCATCACTACCCATACCAACATCTTCACAGTCAGTTACTTCAGGTGATAAAGTTACATTGCGACTATATCTTCCAACACAGCTCTGAAAAGAAGATTCATCTCAATATAATCATCATACAATCAATAAAAATAAAAAAATAAATATATATATATACTTGATGAACTCCAGCTAAACATCGAGATCCATCTGATGAAGAATCATGTTTGTGTGGAGACAACTGTGAACTTTTGTGTAAATCTTCATTAGATAAACGCATACCAATATAAGTATTACCTTGTTCAGACACTGGTATTCGTCTTCTCAATTCATACTCCAAATCCTAAAATTTACAAATTAATTTCTTGAAAAAAATTACTAATAACAAATTATATAAAAATATATACTAAATATGGTTTAAAAAATATATATACAATAATAAATAAATTTATTATGTTATAGCTTTATATATATAATTAAATTTAAATCCAAAATTTTGTATAATTTAATAATACTAAATATATTCAATAAAAATGAAAACCCTTGGAAAATGTATACGTTCCAAATATAAACATGGACAAATTCTTACTTGGAATTGTAATTGTTGAGAGTCCTGATTTTCAGCGCCAGACTTGAAAAATTCTTCTAACACTTTTCTAGTTTCTGAAAACTCATACAAATAATCAAAATTCATAGTTGGAGAAGGGCTGGAAGACCTAGAATCATCTTGAACCACTCTCTAAAAATGATATGAAAATAATTAAAACTACAAAAACAATACTACAAAGAATAAGTAAATGTACTTGAGGAAATCCCGGCCGAGGCATATAAAGTGTAGGAGATGATAATAAAGATGGCATTGATTGTTCTTCTTCCCTGTACTGTTTTGGTGATCCATTAAAATCATTAGTTTGAACTTCACTTTGAGATCTAACTAATCCATCAGTGTTGTCAGTGCTCGATATTTCAGATCGATTACTATTTCCAATTAAATTTATACCTCCATTTTGACTAGTCTACAATTATATTAAAATTAGTATTAGTTATTAAAAATAAAAAAATTAAATACTCACTTTATAATTTATATGGTGTTGACAGGAATCAATAGCTTGATACAAATTTTTATTATGATGCATTCCATAATGGCTTATTGAAGTATCATGTTGAACTTTATCCCATACATCATTATGTACATCATCAAATAAAACTGGATCATCTAATTCTACAAAAGTTATAAATTAAATTAACTCATACCAAACAATAATTTTAACAACTATTTACCTAAAGATAATGGCCGTTGATGTTTTGTAGATTTAACATCAGAAGAAAACACTGTTTCCGAAATTTCTCTTGAAGATTCAGTACTTGGAACATCTAGTCCTCTACAAAAAAAAAAAATCATTAAAAAAATAAAAATAATAAAATAATTTTAACATTAAGTTATGAAAAACATGTTGAAATCAAACAAATTTATTCTTAGCTTGCCTATTGCGTAGTTCCCATATCCGACCAGGTGATTTGATCCAGTCAACTTCTGTAGGTAAAGGTAATTGTCGAGTTTTTCGCCCGGGTTTACTACGGCTTTGACTATAAACTTCTCGACCACCTGCTATTTCTATTATTCTGTGAGAAAATAATTTTAATTATATTACATTTTTTCACCAGTTTACTAAAAAAATAATTAGCAATAACAAACCTGGAATCTCTCAATTTATAAGTAGATTGTTGTGATGTTAAGTTAACTTTGTTTGAGTTTCTTGTTCTGTTGGAGGCCTCAATATCTACATTACACATGACACTTGATTCACTAGACACATTTTTTATATCAGATTCATCATCTTCATCTTCATCCATGTTTTCATTAATTTCTTCCTCATCGTCTTCAATACTGGTTTCTAAAGATGAATCTTGACTAGCATCACTATCACTTCTTCTACGACTTCGAAATTTTCTTATCCCACGGATACTACGTTTTCTTGTTCCATTTCCATGTACATTATCACACCTATGGAATTTGCAAAATTGTATTTATTTATTCCTTAAATAAAAAATAAATGCAATATATATATCATACCTATTTCTTTGTCGTTCATTTGGCTGAGTTAAGTCCATATCATGATCCGTGTCGTCGTCACAGAGGGGATTTAGATTTAAGTCTGTAGATCGCACAGTAGCTGGACGACATTTGGGAAAAAGCTTTGATAAGTCATCATTGTCCAGTTTCAAGCCTATCATAGCTTTTCAAAATATGGATCCACAGATTCTGAAATCTAAATCAAAACACTAGAATATTTATTTTAATTAAAAAAAATGTATTATTCATATTCACTCTTATAGCTCTATAAAACATAACATAACATAACATGGATTTTACTGGAACTGAAGAAATATTATTTAGGATATTTAAAAATAAACTAGGTGGAAAATAAAATTAACCTTTCTTACAAGAACAGCCATTATTAATAACATATGCAATTTGGCTACATTGTAGTTGTTATGGTAACTAACAACTAACATTAGATGTTCAAGAAAAGATCAATTAGTATTTATTCTATGCAATCTACCATAGCTGCTATTGTACTTACACGTATTTAGTTAAATACTGTGTATACATGTTTGGAGTACAAAATAAGTGTTTTAAATACTGAATAATATTCATTACCTACTGAACATTATATTTTCTATTTATTTCAATAACACTATTATTTAATATTAAATTTTTTTAGTTATATTAAATAAGAATTTGAGGTTAAAAAGTATAAGTATAATGAAATTTAAATTAATTTTATTATACTTATACTATATTTTACTTATACTCTATTTGTTTTAGAAAATCAGAAAATTAAAAATGTATAAACACAAATTTAATGTTATCAACTGTCGAAAAAAATTAGCATTATACTCATTATGATATAATAAAACAGAAATATTTCTTAAACGCAATACAACATATTGTAAGAAAGTTAAGATTGTATTATTTTTAATTATACCAATTATTGCTTATCTCCTGGACCATATGTAAATGGGAAAAGGCAGGGGACAGTTAAATTTCAAAAGATACTAAACATTTAAAATTATTATTTATAAATTAATTTGTTCCTTGAATTGTTACGAAAAACCAAATTAATTTAATACTATTATCTTACATTAATATTTTTTTAAGACTATGTGTTTTCTTTTACTAAATCTTGAATAAAATATTCAAATTTGGCCCTTTTTACCTCAGTTTACCTAAGCATAACATATTTTAAGATATTTTTAAAAGAAAATAACAAAGAAAAATCGTAATATGATATCATATACACTAATAGTTTGCACAAACATTTTTTCAAAAAGTTACTGAAAAACAACAAAAAAATTTTGGCAACTTTTTTTTAATTATTTTGCTATAGTTTATAAAATAAAAATGTTGAAATGATACAATTTTAACATTTCAAATTTATTAAGAAAATATGTCAACCAATTTAAGACTAATTATTAAAAAATTCATTATTTTATTTTGTATAACATTGCCAACATTGAGTTGAAATACTTAATAATTCTGTTAAGATTTTTTTTTTCTCAAATACTTTCTAACATTTTACTACGATAACACCCTTTTTTACTATAAAATTTATAAATTCAATAAATCATCCTTTAAATAAAAATGTTATTACTAAGACACGTGACCTAAAATTATAAACTATATGAAATCTATTTTAATCCTAGAAAGGAAAATTATACTATATTATAATATTAAATATATTATATTAAAAATATAAAAAATAAATAAAAACTTAATTTGCATATTAATTAAAAATCTGAACTAAAATTTTTTATTTTAGATTATATTCTACCAACAGAAATTCAATATTGTCAAAATTATTAAAATAACTAAACTGTTAAAATATTTGTTGTCTTTTAATTATCTATATTTTAATTGTACGTAACACATCGAGTTATATCGAGGTCATTAATTAGTTATGCATTTTAAAATAGATGTGATAAAAATATATATATACATTGCCAACATGAAATATAAAAATATTTTCATATGAAAAATTGAATAAATGAGTGATTAAAATTAATCAAAAATGTTATTTTAACAAACTGATTAATTTAATCACAAAAAAAACTATACACATATTGCATTAGTTATTAACAAAATATCAAATTATTTTAGACATTTAAACTAGGTAGATAAATATTATATTTATTTTTTTTCATTTGACAACAATAACCTTTCTGTAATAAATCATAAATAATGTACACATGACAAATATTTACTTTAATGTGTATGCATATTAAATATTATACTGTGTAGTAAAACGGACTTTAACAATGAATGAATGGAATTCCAGAAAATAACCAGTATTCAGGATACTATCAAGTTCATAAACAAAATGGTGATTTTGTTACAGTTGTTACAGTTGACCTGGTAATGAAATCGTTGGTCTTTGACCAAAAATATTACAAATTACATGAATCAAAATCACATTTGTTCATTACAAACATGTAAAAAATTTCAATCTAACATGAAAATATGAGTTGGAATTCCGTTTACTCAATACACAAGATTAAACTGAAAAAATCGAAACACAAAAAGAGCACAACAATAGCTGTATGTTCAAAGGATATGGACGGTTATGAGCTAACGAAAACATAAAGAAACCATTAGTCAAATGCTGGTATAGTCTAGCGTGCTAGAGTAACCTTTCAACAATAAGGTCAAGCCAAAACACAGTGGTCGACAGTTCAACAGACATTTGAACAAGGTCGTCCAAGAGAGACTGTGAAGTGACACGTTGCTATGCGAAACCCAGGAACATTGGGGACAGGCCAGATACAACCGGGTTACGTGATAAAACCTAAATGAATATACAGACAGACGATGGTTCTGACCAACGTTACAAAGGGCACTAACGGACTTAAGCGCGTACGCAGTTTCTCACCTCGCGAAACTGAAGGATTTATATTTTCCAGACATTAAATTCAACGGCAAAACGACGATTGCTAATGGTGGTGGTGCAGCTGTTGTCGACGATAACGATGATGTTGTTGTTATAGTCGCGGTCGTCGGCGGTGCGAAAGTTTCCGGATCGGCAGAAGTCGGAACAGGAGCGGTTACGATAGCCGTCGGCCGAATAGCACGAGAAGCGAACGGTGAAACGGGCAGCGAGCACGTCATACGCGTGAACGCGCGACCAGAGCGTAAGTGTGTGATAAGGTTATTGATTGTGTCGTGGTGGTTGTCGTCGTCGTCGGTCGCGCACGGAAGGAGGATAAACGTGAGTCACAGAACGTCGCGCGCAAACGGGTGGGGTGGTGGCGGCGGCGATGGTGGTGGTTAATTGACCACGGACGCGTCGAAAGCGCGTGCACGCCGACGAGTCTCGCACGTCGTATCGGGGCCGTATGCCGGTCGTCCCGTCGTTCCGGCGATAGATCGTCCCGCGTTCGCGGCACGATCGGCCTGCTGCGTGTCCGGGGCCGGAGTGCGGTTTAGATCACTGCGGCCGCAGATCGCGTAAACGACGAGACCGCGTACCTATTATCACCGCACTCCCCGGGAATGTATAATGGTGGTAAGGATGGTGGCGGGGTTGATTTTAGGAGGGGAAACGGCGAGTCCGTCGGCGGCCTGAGTATGAAAATTGCGATCGACTTTCGGCACGTCGAACCCGGGGTACACCGTGAACGTATCGCGAGTGTGTGTACGGTCGTCACGTATCGCGCGTGAACGTCGTTAACGTACGAGTCGGGCGGCGGCGAGGCGCATGTGCCAGATAAATTTTTGTGATTATCGGATGCTGCGGCGCGGTGCGTGACGAGAGCGCGTTGGTCAGCGCGGTGGTCGCCTCCGTCACGAATCGGCGCGCGCGCCCCAAAACTTCCCAAAGAGATTATTCCCGCACGATCCACGTCGAAATGCGCTCCTCCTTGACACGCGCATGTTTTCCCCGCGGATTTCTGCATACCCGTGTTTTTTCCGTAGTGCTTCGCCGCCTGCATACTGCATATTCCGGGTGCCGCAGTTGCACTTCGTGCTGCGCGCGGTCCGTAAGTTTAGAGACCGGACTGAATTGAAAATATATCGAAATCGGACCGAACAGATTATTAAATTTATTTTTCTTCTTAACCGAACCGAAAATATAATGTAATTTGATTGAGCGGACGAACGATTCGAACTAAAAATATTTCTGATTGTGAAAGTTTTTATTTATACCATATAATCGGTATTTTGTATAGATTTAAACTGCTCGTAGATTACATGTCCGTGCTGGCACTGACTGGATGATTATTTTAAAACGTAGTTATCCTACCTTACCTATGTACCTTAAAAAAAATGAATTGTTTAAAATACGATTAAAATAAGCAAGAAAAAAAATGTTTTGTTAAGAAAAGTGAATTTGTAATAATTTGTAATTTTCCAAACGTTCTAAAAGGTATTGGTATTTAAAACTCACATTTTTGAAATTCCATGATGGCAATACTTCGTAAAAATAATGCGTGTTTGTAAGTCACTTATTATCAGTAAGTAAAAATAAGTAAATATACGTAATCAATATAATATTATTTATAATGGTACATTATGATTGACGGGTTTCCCTAAATTTTGAATTGTATGGTCATGTGATGACGATTGATAATAGTCAATCAATAGTCAATAGTCAATTATTTCAAAATAACGGTAATCAGGCCTGTATTTAGAGGGGGCACGGGTAGGCACATGTCCGGGGGCGGCAAGTCTCAGGGGTGGCAAAATATTTAAGCAAAATTAATTTTAAAAATGATGTACCTAATGAAAAAAAAATAAAACAATAAAAAAAAGAAAATAGTATGTTTTATTATGTAACAATTTGTTTAATTTGTTAATTAAAAAAAGTATTAAACGATTTTCATTTATAAATTATATTTTATTATTAAAGAATCTCGATTATGGACGAAATAATATGTGTATTATTATTATTTATTTTTTTTTGGGGGGGGAGGCTAGTAAAATAATATGCCCTGAGGCGCCAAATTTTTAAACATGGGTCTGACGGTAATTATTCTTATTTTTTCAACCCCCCCCCCACAAGTTTTTTTTTACGTCCGCTCCTAGTAGAGCGGCATTTACAACATTTCGGGAGGTGCCCGGGCACACCCGGCACCTCCCATGCGCACGCGTATGTACACAATAAAACAGTTGAAATATTGGCTTTGCAATTTAGTTGGTGTCATTAGGTATTAAACTGTGTTTTACAAACAAATTTAATTCATCTTCTTCTTCTTCTCAGCTTACCGGTCCATTAAGGACCATTGCTGCCTTCAACAGGTCTCTCCATATTTCTCTATTGTAAGTCAACTCATAAGTCACATTCTGATCTATGGCTTTCAAACCCTTGGAAACTACATCGATCCACCGGGTCCTGGGTCTTCCTAAGGGTCTTTTTTTGTTCATTTTTTCTACGAGTACTTTTTTTATTAGTTGACCAGTAGCTCTCCAAGTGTGTCCAAACCACTCTAGTCTTTTATTCCTGATAAAGGCTAGAATGTTTGGTCTTTTGTATAATTTCTATAGTTCTTCATTTTTTCTTTTGTCAAATGTATTTGTTTCTCGGTTAAAGCGTGGTCCAAATATATTCCGGAGTATTTTTCTTTCAAATATTATCAGCTTTCTCTCATCGCTTTTTGTTAATGACCATGTTTCACTCACGTACGTGATTATTGGTCGCAAATAACTATGGTATAAGCGTATCTTTGATGTCCATGATAGTAGTTTTGATTTTAGGAGCTTAATTATACTATAGTAACACCTGTTCCCACTCATGATTCTTTCATTTATCTCTTGGTGCATATTATTCTTGTTATTGACGTTTACTCCCAAATACTTGAAGTTGTCCACTACTTCAAATTTCCAATTGTCTACCATATTATACCTGTTTATATTTAGATTGGTCCTTGACATCACCATGTACTGTTTTATTTTCATTTACATATAAACCCATTGACATGCTTGCCTTAAGTAGTCTCTTGGTTGTCTCGGTAACTTCCTCCCTAGTCTCTCCCATTACGACAATATCATCGGCGTAGGCCAACATCACTGATCTTCACTTATCTTCATTTGCCGTTGTTCATGGATATCTCTTACTATTCTTTCAAAAGCTAGGTTGAATAATGTAGATGACAATGCACCTCCCTGGCACAAGCCGGTTTTTACCTTAAATGGCTCCGAGTCATTCTGCAAAAACCGTATTTTACAAATTGTCTTCTCTCTGCACATTTTTATTAGATTCACATACATCCCTGGTATTCCAAGTCTTTCCAATCCCTTCCATAACTCGCTCCTGTCAATACTATCATATGCCTGTTTGTAATCTATAAATACTAAATGCAGGTCTACACCAAATTCGTAATACTTTTCCATAATTTGTCTTAATACAAATATGTGGTTGGTGGTTGCCTGGCCCTTTCGAAACCCACATTGATAACTTCCGATTATATCATTGGCATATGTATTTATTCTTTTTAATATATTATTGTTAGGACTTTATATCCAACGTCTAGTAGGGAAACACCTCTATAGTTTTCTGTTTCTGTTGGGTTTCTTTTTTTAAATATAGGACAAATTATAGCAGTGTTCCATTCGTCTGGTATCGTTTCTGTTCTCCATATTTCTCTAAACAATTCTGTTAATTTTCTCCTTAACGCTGTCCCTCGTTTATTTAACAGTTCTGCTACTATACCATCTTTGCCTGGTGCTCTATTATTTTTAAGGCCGTTCACTAACCAATCAGTTTCCTCATGAGAGGGTTCCTCAATTTCCGGTTCTACAGTGTGGAATTATACTTATTCGTTTTCCGTGTTGTGAAGTGGTCTGTTTAGTAGCTATTCGAAGAAATCCTTAAATTCATTAACTATTTGTTTTTCGTCAGTGATTAGAGTTCCGTTTTTATTTGTCAAGATTTTTGTTTGTAGCTTATCCCACTTATCACTTTGTTGTTACCAGCTATGTAGAAGAAAGTTTTTGTGTTGTACTTGTTAATCTCTAATTTTTCGATCCTTTCCTTTTCAAATTGACGCTTTTCTCTTCTTAAAATCTTCTTGGTAGTTTTTCTTTGTTCCTTGTATTTATCTCTAGTATCAATTGATGGATTCTGAAGGACCGTTTTTCTAAGCTCATTTCTTTTATCTATTGCATATTTGCATAATTGATTGAACCAGCTCTTCTGCCTCATTCTTTTTTCAATACCCAGAGCTTCACTTGCACTAATGATCACTGCCTCTTTTAATTGACTCCAACCGGAGTTAACAGTGTGTGCTTCACTTTCTCTGCTTGGTTGGTTACTTTGTATATTTTCATGCACTTTTTCAACAAATCTCTCTAGAGCTTCGGGGTCGGATAATCTCTGCAAGTTGTATTTTTCTCTAGGTATTTTTTTCACCATATTCCATTTTGTAGACAGCCTGAGATTGAATTGTGCAAATAGTAGGTAATGGTCTGAGTCAGCATCCGCTCCTCTGTAAGTTTTCACCTTTCTGATACTGCTGGCGTGCCTTTTGCTTATCATTATATGATCGATCTGATTATGCACTCGACCATTCGGCGATATCCATGTGGATTTATATATATATATCCTTTCTCGGGAAGAACGTACTACTTATTGTTAACTCTTTTGACGTAGCAAAGTGTATTAGCCTGGTCCCATTATCATTGCTCTTCTCATGTAAACTGTCCAGCCCAGTTGTGGGCCTGTTCATGGTCTCTCTGCCCACTTAAGCATTTAGATCACCAACTATCATTTTTATACAATGTGTGGGTAGGCTGTTCACCACTTTCTCTAGTTCATCATAGAACTGGTCCTCCTGGTTTGTTTAGTGTTCTAATGTTCCAAGTTCCCAAACGAAGTCCAGTATCCAATTCCAGTCGCTTGCCATTATCAATCCAATTTCGAGGCCCATTTGAAGGTTTCTAGAAGATTAATTTAATTCATATTGAATATAAATACTCGATTAACAGAAATTTTACAATAAATGTATATATTTTACGTGTGTATTTTCAGAAAAATATAATACACATATATACTAAATTTTACATGTCATACTAAACACTACTAAACTAAAGCTAATAATTCTAAACAAAATAATTTGTTATTTTCTTTTGTTTTTTTGATGCTCGAGCCTTTTTAGGTGCAATATTTCGTATTTTATGTAGCCGTACGTATGACCGAGTTACTCGTCAGTCACTGATTAAATTAAATTACAAATAATTCAATTTGTTCGTTCACGTCACGTTTTTCACATATGTTGGATATTAGAAAAAATGTGTACACACCGCAACGAGTTTATCACGATTGCCTCATTAATGATAGCGATGACGGATAACAGAGAGTGACGTTAATCAAGTTTCTACTGTATATACAATATGTTATTTAAAACAATAAGTAAAAAAAAAAAATAAATATAACAACTTCTTTATTCATTTTTACAGCACATAAATAATTACTTAATATTTTTTTCAAACTATAATTTGAGAAGGAAATTGTTCATTAACAACATCTCAGAATATATTTATTCATAATAAATTACTTTATAATTGTAAGGGACTATATGGAACGCTGAGAATGATATATATGTTAAGAGTCTCTCCAACTCTTTTTTGCCACTTAAAAACCTGCTTACAAAGTACATGAAACAACGGCACATGGGTAAAATATTGAATCCCATGATAATATACGTGTTATTAAGTCCACAAATAATGTCTTCAAAATTTAAAAGCATT